GGGGGGGGGGCCTTGTACATGATATATAGGCTGTATAGAACTCTGTCCTTGTAAATCTGTAGAGCGAAAACTGTCTAGAAGGGCATAGAGGCGTATAATACAGCCCGTGTACAGATTACTTGTAGAGAGATAAAACGTACACATGCTGAGAGAGAGAATTCTTAGTGGTAGTAGTAGTCTTATCATCACTCATGACTTCTTCCGAGGCCAGTCCATCCTCTCCCGACAAACCTGACAGAACTTGTCTGCCATCCCAGCCTCGGCCGGGAGGGTCCATCCATCCTTGGGCCTTGGGAGAGGAGGGTCCGACGACAAGATGGAACGGAACAGAACATAACACACGCACACGCGCGCACACACACATCCGCGCTTTAATATGTGACGCACCCCCGCAAGTTGAAATGATAACCAATCCCTCCCCCCCCCCCCCCCCCTCTCTCCTCTGACCCGAGGCGCCCAAGGGTCCATCCCTTCCAGTCCCCGAGGGGTCCCTCCCTCTCGGATACCCACATACCTCCCTTGTCTGTTTGATGTACAGGCAGTACATGTATTGTCCTGCCGAGTAATATCGTACATGTAGTAGCTGTGTTGGGACATGGCCTACTGGTCGGTACTCCTAGTTATTATTACCTACCCAGCACTCCGTAGCAGCTCCCGACACGCCCGTTCCCAGCCTGCTAGCCGACGACAAACTCTCATATGCGTCACTGGCCTGTCCAAACTCCATATCTCATCCGTCCTCCTCCCCTCGTCCTCCCTCCTCTTCGCTCTCGTCAACATCCCATCGCCATCTCCCTTTCCGTCTTTCTTCGTCCCGCCTCCCGTCCTCTCTCGTCTCACCTCATCCTGGATCCTTCCCGAGGCTACGCCGCTCACACGCGCACGCCGCCTTCCCCGCTACCATCGCTGCTGCTCACTCACACACCCACCTGCATCTTCTCTCTCCCTCCTTCTCCTCCGTCTCTTCTCTTCTCTTGCCCACTTCTTCCACCCACCTGCTCCCCATCTTCTCTCCAACCAGCTCTGATCGACACTCACATCACCACCTCCCACTCACCTCGCACCTTATAATTTCTTTACCTGTCTCGACGACCTCGTTCTGCTGTCTGTAGCTCCCCCAGTCAGCAGAGGCTGATACTACCCTGTCTCACATGTATGTATCGCACTACTCCTACCCCTTCCCTCTCTCTGTTTTGATATCCAGCCTTCTGTCTTCCCTTCTTTCCTTCTCCGTCTTCCGTTTTTTTTTTTTTTTTTTTTTTTCGGTTGGTGTGAAAAGCTACGTCTGACCATGATAGTCCTTCTAGCTACGCTCAGCTTCCTGTGATGCTGCTACGCTAAGAATTTTTGTCAGCGTCGTCATCATCACCGACTCCACCACCATACTGGAGTAATACTCAACCCCTAATCGGTGGTAGACGAGAAAGAGGAGGAGGGAGAAAACCTCAAAGGTCCGAAGATAGTGTGATACCTGCAAAAAGTATTACGCTGATACTCGAACCCCCCCTCCCCCCCCCCGGCTTCCTACCCCCAGAGACGGGCGACAGATCATCCCTCTCGCCCGGAAGATCTCACGCGCCACATCTGTCTCCAACCAGACGACGCCCGACTGCGCCACACGTCGTCCGCTCCTCGGCGGTGGTGCCCGAGTGCCGCGCACGCTATTACGCACGCACTACCAGGTCCCACTGTTCACTGTCTACACTGCTCTCCATCACTGTCCACAGCCTGCTGTCCACTGTCCCCCCCGAGAACCCACTTGGCCTGACTCCAAGGTCCCACTGTCCCTCCCTCTCTTCCAAGCTACTCTGGCTCCCCCCTCTCCTGCCTACGCCACGGGCCATCCGCTGTGTGCCCGCCGCATTGGTCAACCAGCAGACAGACCCCTGGTCCGTCCTTCCCGCGTCCTCTCTGGTCGTCGCATCCTCCCAGGCCCTCTTTTTTACCATTTTATTTCGCTCTTACTCTGTCGACTCGATCCACCACCGACACAGCACTTCGCTTTCGAGAGGCCCTTGGGTGTCTGTGACTTCCTTTCTTCTTGAACCGTCTGGCCTCCTTCTCGCTGTTGTCCTCCCGATCCTACCTCCTACCCCGACGCGACGCGCTCCCTCACCCCCGACGGGCTGATCCGAACACACCCATCTCGAACGCTCCTCTTCTCTCTCCTACGCCGCGGTCCGGAGATGCTCTGGTCGTGACAGTTTCAAGAGTGTCTCGAGTCACAGCAAGCCAGCCGTCAGCATGAGTAGCAGCCGCTCTGACTCTCATGCCTCCACAGACGGCCACGAGCACGATGAGCCCCTCCTACCCTTGGGCACAGGCCATGACAATTCGTGGATGCCTATGCCGTTGAGGCGCAGGGGTCGTTTTCACATCTTGGCGAAGCCAAATCTGAAGCGCGTCTTGATCCTCGCCGTCTCTCTGCTCTTCGTCGTGGGTTTTATCGTCTACCGACGCAAGCCTGTAAGCTATTCCGGCGCTATCACCCCCCATCTGGATCAGGACCACCACCGCATCGGTCAGGACTACCTCAGCAGTCAAGGTCAGGGACAGGACCGAGACCATGGCGATCAATCTGGCCAGTCGTCGTCGTCGTCGTCGTCAACTGCCGCTCAGGGTCACAAGCCTCAAGAAGCAGCCGGGGTTGGCGGTGCCGCTGCGTCCAAGCCCGACCCCACCACCAAGGAAGAGGATCGGACCGAGCCCAGGCCGGACCGAGTCGGCGATGCGCCCTATGCCGCATCCGAGACGCGAGAGGCCATTGTCGTCGTCCTTCCCAGCAGCGGCATTGACATTGACGATGACCGGGGAGACGAGGACCAGGATGGTGATTATGACAGTGACAGTGGTGGTGGCGAGCGTGAAAGTGATGACCAAGATCTGCAAGCTAAAAAAGAGGAATACCAGGCTGAAATTACCGGCAAGCCATGGCTGCGATTTACACAGTACGTCCTGCCTCTGCTCTGCTCCATTCCTTGCTGACCTTGGCCCAGCCTTAACGGCTATTTTCATGGCCTCAAAACGCTAGTGCCCCCGAGCCAACACTCCCCCGAGTATCCTAACCCCCATGTGTCCGTTCCCGCCCGTGAACCTCCCGTCCAATCGCCCGTCCCGCGACCGGACCCCTACGACCCTTACGACGCCGACGCCTCCGTCGTCCCCTGCTTCCTCGACGCCAACGAGTCCACCCCGGCCCCCGACATCTACGCGTACAATGCCCTTCCGGCGTACTACCCGGACCCCGTTCTCGGGTCCTACGAAGTGCTCGGAATGAGGGACGACGTCTGCTTCGACCGCTTCGGTCGCTACGGCCCCTACGGTCTGGGCTACTCCAAGGACAAGGGCGGCGTGGGTGTGGGTGAAGACACGGAGAGCGCCGGCAGCAGCTTCGTCTGGGACCGGACGGGCCAGATCGACTACTCCAACATGGACTGGGCCGATGCCCAGGAGCGCTGCTTCGACTCCAACAGGCACCGCCTGCGCACCGTCGACGCCGACACGGGCGAGATGGAGAAGGCGGCCGGCAAGAAGGCGCGCATCGCCGTCGTCGTCCGATGCTACACCGACTTCGCCTGGACCGAGCACGTCATCCTCAACTTCCGCGCCATGATCAACGAGCTCGCGCTCCGGTCAGGCGGCGAGTACGCGGTGCACATGCTGGTGCAGGTGCGCGACGCCGACGTGCCGTTCTGGTCGGATCCGGAGACGGTCCAGCGCATCCTCGACTCCAACGTACCGCCCGAGTTCCACGGGCTGGTGTCGCTGTGGAGCGAGCCGCAGATGCGCCTGTACTACCCTGGCAAGTTCGACAGCGCCTACTCCAACCCGAGCGGGCGCGACCTCCACGGCGTGTACCGCGGAGGCCACCTCCCGCTGCAGATCTTCGCCATGGAGCACCCCGAGTACGAGCACTTCTGGAACTGGGAGATGGACATGCGCCACGTCGGCAGCTACTACGAGCTCTTTGACCGGCTGGGCAAGTTTGGCGAGGCCCAGCCCCGCGCCTTGCTGTGGGAGCGCAACGCGCGGTACTACATCCCGTCCTACCACGGCACGTGGGACAACTTTACGCAGCAGACGCAGCGGGACACGGTGCGGTCCGGCCTGCCCACGCCCTTTGGCCCGCTCATGTTCTCGGGCCGCAAGTCTCTCCGGTTCGAGTCCAAGGGCGAGTCGGTCCTCCCCGACGACTGCGACGTCCACAGGGACGACCGGGCGCGGTGCGGCGTAGGCGAGGCGGCCGACCTGATCACGCTGAACCCCATCTTCGATACGGACCAGTCCGGCTGGTTCTTCGGGCTGGACGCGACGGGCTACGGCCCCACCCCCCCGCCGCGCCGGGCGTCCATCATCACGGCGTCGCGCCTCAGCCGCCGGCTCCTGATGGCGATGCACGAGGAGGTCTGGCGCCACCACCACACCATGTTCCCCGAGATGTTCCCGACCAGCGTGGCGCTCCACCACGGCTTCAAGGGCGTCTTTGGCCCGCACCCGGTCTACCTGGACCGCGCGTGGCTGCCGTTCGGCAAGGCGGTCGACGACGCCTTCAACGGCGGCGAGTACCACTCGACGTCCGGCCACGGCAGCCCCTTTGACCTGAGCAACGAGCACAACCACCAGGGCACGAGCTGGTACTACAACAGCGCCTTCTCCGGCATGATCTGGCGTCGGTGGCTGGGGTACGCCCAGAAGGACGGACGGGGCAAGCACTCGAACAGTCCGGACTCTGGCAAGCTGCGTGGCGGAGTCGAGGAGGAGTCGAGCGAGTCGAGTACAGGTAGGCTATGTCTGAGGAGTATGCTTGTCCACCCTATCAAAAAGGAGCATCCCGACGAATAATCTTTCTCATCCTCTCTCACCTTCCCACTCACTTCCTGCCCTCTCTCTCTTCCTCTCTATCTCTCTTCCACGCATCGTCCTCTCACACGCAAACCCACACGCACACACACACACTGTCTCTCTCCCCCTCTCTCTCATGCTCTAATAATCGTTACTGTTGATGAATATGTAAATGCACAAGGAACGGCGTTGTCATCTTTCTCCTTTGTTGTTGTCTCGTGTCATTTTTGACCTTTTCCTTTCTTCCCTTTTCTTCTATTGTCATCCTGTTTTTTTTTTTTTTTTGCTATCTACGAGCAGCTCTCTTGGATACCAAGTCTGTTTTTTTTCCTTTTTTTCCCCGCCCTCTCTTTTTTTCTATTTTCTTGTATTAGGGGGGGGGGGGGGGCGAAGAGGGGAGAAAGACATGTATAATTGATGTCATCACGTACATGTACAAGTGCAAATACACACATACACACACATACAGAAAAGTCGAGTGCACATGTAAACAAAAAGTACTCTCCGTACACATGTACAGACTCGGGTGCAACTACAAGTACAAGTACAGGTGAAGTAGGAGTAAAACAGATGAATCCCAAGTCCGTATAGTAAAAGAAAAGTAAAACCAGGTTAAAAAATAAACAACATTGCCCTTCATTGACTCGTTGCAAGAAACAAGTAACAAAACCAAAACCAAAAATAAAAATAAAAATTGAGAAAGCCAAGAAAAACAAAACACCACAATCCAACTACCCAAAAACAGAAAGGAAACACGGAAAAGGGACGGAAACGAAAACAGGGAGAGACAAACCCAGTGGGAGGAGGCATCAACCGCTTTTTTTTTGGGGAAAAAAAAAGGCAATCCATTCACCAATCACCACCACCACCACCACCACTACCAATTCCCAATCCCATCGCAATGGAATAAAAAATAAGACAAAAAGTGTCCTTTGGAAAAGACGATTCAAAAAGGAGATACCCAGAAAATTCGACAAGAGAGAAAACATAAAAAATAATCACCAACAAGAACAAACGGGTATTTGCTTGCTTCTCCCCTCAGAGAGGCATGGTCAAGTGGGAGAGAGAGAGGTATGTGTAGTGTGTGGGTGTGTGAGTATGTGAGTGTGAAGAAAGAAAAGAGGCTAGCATTCAAAGGAATCTGGCTGATTCGATCGACTTTACTTGCGAAGGACGGCATCATATATACTGGCCAGACCGGTGACGGCCGTGCCAGTCAGGATACCCTTGTATCCGCCGTAGACGGCTCGGTCCAGACGGGTAATGGACGAGACGGGCAGGAGACCGCCCAGGGTGGCCTTCTGGCCGTAGACGACAAAGGACAGGAGGGCCTTGGCCACGCTGAAGGTGAGGGGGTCGACGGCGTAGTCCGGGACGGCGGCGGCGCGGGCGCGGGTGCGCGGGGCCGAGGCGTTGACGGAGCTGGTGGCGCTCAGGTTGAAGAAGTAGCCAAAGAGCGAGGGCAGGACGAGGCTGGTCAGCGCCCACGTGAGGGCGGGGTACCAGAACGACGACGTCAGCAGCAGGAACATGTCGGGCAGGTAGACCGGGTAGTCCGAGGTGCCGATGGCCGGCACGGCCGGCACCGTGAAGGCGTAGCGGCTGGGGAGCACCTCGGCGCGGACGAAGAGGAGCTCGAATGCGCTGACGAGGAGCACGATGGAGTGGATCGTGCTGAGCGAGTCGCGCGTCGCCGTCGCCACGTCCGTGATACCGCTCTGCGTGTACAGGGACGACACGCGCTGGCGCACCGCCAGGGTCGACCGGTCCACGGCGTGGGCCACGTCGGCAGGCGTCGCCGGCAGCGTCAGCCGAGACGCCACCTGGGAGAAGCTGCGGCCGGGCGTCTGCACGAGCGCCGACGAGGGGGTACGCGATATGACCTCGGTCCTGGCGCGATCAGGTTAGTCTCGTGGGGGTTGTCCCGGACGGTATGTAGGCATGTATGCTTCGCATATCAGGGGCGGGGGCGCATTCGCGACGCGCAGAGTCAACACTCACTCGTTGGCAATCTCTTCGGCAGCCTTAGAGGCCTTGCGCCTGGCAACTTTGACGGCTTTCTCAGCCTCGTCCTTGACGGCTCCCTCCTTCTTGACGGGGGAGCCGAGGGCCTTGGAGCGGCTGTTGTAGTAACCGAACAGTTCCGACCTGGAGCTGAAGCGCGTGGTGTGCTCGGCGAGGTACTCGTCGAGGGCGACTTCGAGCTCAGCCTTTTTCAGGTTCTCGTAGCTGTTGTGTGCGAATGTTAGATCGTATGTCCTTTCCGTTCTTCTTTCTTTCCCACAGACTACCCTGAATTTACTGGCGATATCGGCATCTTGGGGCTATCTGCGACGGAGCGCGCGCAGAGGCGGTGCCGGTGGCTGCTGTTTGCGACGCGGTGGGCCAAAACGCGCGCGCCGTCGCGCACACGCCACGACCCATCGCATACAGACAAGGCGCAAGTCGCAAAGCCCGATGCAGTACAATGGGAAGAACACGAGGAGAGAGAAGTCAAGGAGAGATGAACCCACCTCTGGAGACCGACATTTTCGGCAATCTCGACGAGATCAGACTTGCGCTGACCGCGCAGCCAGCTGTTTGTTGATGAGGTAGACATGACGGGGTGAAGCTTGGAAGCGGTGGATTGCTCAAGGGAAGCTAGCAGTGACGGATAAGTCACGGCAAGATTTGATGTATGCGCGGGATGAAATTCGGAAGTCTTTTTTTGCCCCTCTGTTTTTCCTCTTTGCGAATGAGGAGAAGAACGATAATAAAATCTTTCGAACCCTTTTGTGTGGCTGTGGTGGTTGGTGACGGTGGTGATGCAGCGTATGAATGAAGGTGCTGGTGCAGACGGGGGTACCGAGATACTTTGGGGGAGGAGGGGGGGGGGATGATTTGTTTATTTTATCGACAAGGCGCGTGCGGGTGGTGGGTGGGTAAAGCATTAATAAGTAATAGTGATATTTGGCATAGCGTGGAGCCGCGTAGTGGGAAATAATGTGAAGAAAAAAGTGGCAGGCGCGACTGGGTGGGAGAGAGGAGGGGAAGGAAGGAGGGAAATATTGTTCTTTTTTTTTTCCGGGAAGGAGGAGCCGGACCGTTGATGAATGGGGAAGGAACAAGGGACGAGTGGTAAGAAGGGAAAAGACGCCGCTGCTTTGTTCATGTCATGTACTGGCTGTACTGCATTCGTACCAGTCAGTGAGTACAGTACCTTGGTATGTTGTGATTTGGCCATTCGGCCATTTGCCGGATATGTTAGATATCTTCTGTATTTTCCGAGTAGGACTGGTTAATACTCTACAGATTACTCGTACTAATTATCACTACTGGCATTGCTCTGCTATCTTGACCTGAGAGTTTGGGTGTTCGTCTGGCATCAGTCTCAAGCTGTGCCGGCAGCTCTTTGCTCCTTCCTTCTCCGCCATCTGCTCCTTCCCTCTTTTTAGCTTCGCTCTTGCCTTGTGCTCTTTCTGCCCAACCTCACCCACTTCCATTTCCAGTTGTTGGTGCGACCTGATTGATCTTTTTTACCTTCTTTTCCCTCTTTTCCCTCTTCTTCTTCTTCTTCTCCTTCTTCTCTTCCCTTTTCATCGTCATCATCACCATCGCCATTGCCATCCCCCTCTGTGTGCATCTGTGTTGCTCTCATATGACCTCACTCCACACGCGTCGTATACAATAATAACACGCGGTAAAGGAAAAGGGGAAGAAGACGAGAAAAGTCTCATTTCGCGTCAGTTTCCACTCTCATCCACCGCCAATTACCTCACAACACACACCCCTGGCTTTGGCCTTGGCCCCGGTGCCCCCCTACCCGACCACCCCTGCCTAGCAACGGGGCCGATCCAGCAACCAGACAGAAGAGTTTCGAGGAAGCGTCATCTATATGTACTCGTACGTCGCAATCACTGTTACGGTCCACCACGTAGCAATGATAAGTAGAGATCGAGTCCTGCTCCACCTGTGGAATTCCATTATGCGTGCCGACTAATAATGCTCGTTGCACTTTCGTGCGAGTCCACGTGCGTCTAGACGCTCTCACTCACTCACCAACAATAATAACTGCTCATTACTACTATTAGTAAATACATTTCTACAAGTATTATATATCCCATACAAAGGTTACAAATCAGGAGGTTATATACACAAACACACACACAAGATAGAACCTGGGAATCACAACCTACAAGCCGTGATTCAAAAATTACAAGGCGCTAGACGACCCGTCACTCGTCATCACTGTCGAGCCAGTCGATAAACTTCTCGTGCCCCCTCTTGACGAAGCGAAGCGGCACCTCGGCCCCGCGCATCTTGAGCGTCACCAGCGACGAAGACGCGGCCACGGCCTGGAGCATCCTGCTCTTGGCCCTCATAAACACCTCCGCCCTCTGCGTGCGATCCATGCCGTCCACCTCGTCGTCGGTAGCCCACTCGTCCACGGCCAGCTCGACGCTGTGATCGCGCAGCACCGCCGCCAGCGTAGCCAGCACCTCTACCTGGGCTATCCTGCGGCCCAGGCAGGCCCTCGCCCCGTCGCTGAACGGGACGAAGGCGCCTCGTTCCGGTCTGAAGAAGGATGTGCCGCTGCTGCTGCCGCCACCAATGCCGATGCCGGGATAACCTGTACCGCCTGTACCGCCTGTACCGCCTGTACCGCCAGTACCTGTACTCGCCCCTTGTCCTCCTTCTAGTCCCCTCGCAGATGTAGGTTGCTGCTGCTGCTGCTTCTGCTGCCGAGGCGGTTTCGTCTTCTTTTCCTTCTTCAGTTCCCCTTCGTCTTCCTCGCTCTCGTCCTTGTCGTTGCCGACAATGGTCTGCCTGTACCATCGTTCGGGGACGTAATCGGCAAGGTCGTCGTGGCCGGGTCTCACGCGGCTCGGCTCGGCGGGCCAGTGCCGCGGGTTCATGTGGGCGGCGGCGGCGCTGATGATGACGATGGACCGGGCCGGTATGACGACGGGCTCGCCATCGAGGACGACGGTCTGGTCCTGCGGGCAGGACACCTTGGGGATCTCGACGACGGGCGGCAGCACACGCAGCGTCTCGTTCATGCAGGCGCCCACCATGCTGGCCTGCAGCGGGGCGACGAGGTCGTAGCCCCATACGGACGGGTCGCCGGCCCAGTCGATCGGCTTGCCCTCGGCGTCGGTCGCCGGCAGGATCCGATCCAGGTCGCGGTGCAGCCGGCGCTGCGACGCCGGGTTGGCCGCCAGCTGCAGCATGGTGAAGTGCAGCGTGTTGGCCGTCGTCTCGTGGCCGGCCACCATCATGATGAAGGCGTTGCCCGTGATGTCGTCCCGCTTCAGGGGGGCTTGGTCGCTCATCCGTACCTCCCACTCCTCTCCTCCCGATCGCGCTGCCCCCGGCACCTTGGTCTTTACGTAGCTCGACCGCACCAGCTGGCCCATCAGATCCATACCCTCCTCCTTCCTCTTCCCTCGTGCCCCCTCCACCTCGTCCTCGGCCTCTTCCTCGTCCCCATCTACTTCCCCGACCTGCCGTATCTTGTGCTCCAGGAGCTCGTCCACGTAACGCAGGTACGCCTCGCGAGCCTCGATGGCCTTGCGGGTCACCTCGAAGGGCAGGATGCGCAGGAGCCAGTGCGGCGTCAGCATGAGGAGGAACATGTGGAGGAGGAGCTCCGACATGGCGCTGGCAAACGTCATGGTGTAGCCCTCCGGCGGGACCATGGAGCCGTATTTGAGCTCGACGGCGTCGGCGTCGGCGGGGGCCTCCTGGTTCGGCCAGAGGAGGCGTAGTCCGAAACCGGCGTAGCCTATGATGTTGAGAGCCAGACGCATGGTATCTCGTTCGACGGTGCGTAGGATATCCTTGTTCTTTGCTGTCTTTGCTGTCTTTGCTGTCGTCGCCGTCGTCGTCGTCGCCGTGTCGACGACGACGTGTCCTACTTCTTCGCTGGCCTCGTCGTCTCTGGTGACGACATCCGTGACCTCCCCCTTCTCGCCGAGTTCCTGCTCCCAGTACGCCACCATGCCCTGAGCCTGGCGGACGGCCTCGCGGAAGACGAGGGCCGAGTTCCTCTCGTTGAAGGACGAGGCCGTGACCTTGCGGTGGACGCGCCACTCGGCGCCCTCGACGGTGAGCACGTTGCGGCCGAACTGGTTGAGGATGCCGTACGTCTCCGTGTCCTTGGGGTACCTGTCCCGCGCGGCTGACGTGATCTGCGTCACGGCCTCGGCGCGCGACACGACGACGTGGAAGGAGAAGGGCGAGACCAGCATGTACATGTCACCCAGGCGGGGGTCGTCGTGCAGGCCGCGACCGTCGTACCACGAGTAGTCTGGCATCATGGGGGGCAGCCATGACTTCCAGAGCCGGGCCGGTAGGACGGTCGTGACCGTCTTGTAGAATGGTTTGTTGAAGATGACCCACAAGGCAAAGTGTGGTGAGCAAGCTGATTTCTGGTCAGGTTCTTTTCTTTCTTTCTTCCTTTTGCCGTTGTCTGTTCGTCTCTCTCTCTGTTTCTGTTTCTCTACCTCTCTTTCTTCCCACTCTCTTTATATATATATATACATATATATATATATTCTATTCACCGAAAAGAAAAAAGAGAGAGAGAAAAAGAAAAAGGGGGAGGGGAGGGGGAGAGAACATACGAGTTATGATATATCGTATACCCGTCGTTTTGGCCTTTGCTATGTTGCGTCGTAGACTTGATAGGCAGGTATATACCCAGTAGACTATCAGGCCAGCCAGACCGAGTACTATGACCTGAAGCATCCTGTCTGTCTTTCCTCTCTTCTTCAGTCTCTCACTCTCTCTTTCTTTCTTTCCTTCTCTCTTTTTCTGTGACCCAATGCCGTTCTTCTTCTTCTTCTTTAAATGTTTTTCTTCAAAGATGTCAATTAGTGGATGAAGAGGAAAAGATGGGAAAGAAAGAAAAAAGAAAGAAAAGAGATCAGAGTCGGGGAACGGGTCATTCATATGATCCGAGCTAAACCTAAGAGATAATAGACCGCACCAAAAAGTGAGGCAGAGCGGCTCTTATATATATGTCAGTTCCAAAGAAGAAAGAAATCAAGAAGAGAAAGAAGAGCGCCCAGAAGATAGAATCGTTGTGTCGTTCTCGTCTGGACGAATAGGTTGTTGCTATCGCCTCAGGAGGGAAGAAAAAGAATATACATATAATAAATATATATATATATATGTTTGGAAAATAAAAAGGTACACATGTATTGTTCGATTTCTGGTGTACCTGCAGTCTGTTGGTCGCAGAACTCACTTGTTGGCCCTGTGGGAACGAATCGCTATAAAGAGTTTGGTCATCTTGCCAGTGCTCAAACGGGCTGTTGCAGGTTACAGCATCGATACGACTAAGAGTAGCCTGTATATATGTACTCGGTATGTGTACTCGGTATGTGTACTCGGTATGTGTACTCCGTATGTGTGCACGGTACACGTTATCCTGTGCGCTGATCAATATATTACGGGGTCCGAGGACAGTACAGCTGCATGTACGGGTACGAGTACATTGTCAGTTTCAGCCATGTCCCGGATATTTCCATGGACAATTCCGTTCATAGTGGTGTGGATCCCGTGACGTACGGGTCCGGCGGAACGATCTGCCGGACGCACATGTTCTCGCTATACGTAGGTAATAGCAGGGAGCCTCACCTTCCTGCTACATCTTCAATCAAGCATATCCTTCCGTTTTCAGGTCTGAACGTAGCCTCATATCGCCAGGTGTGGGTTACGAGGTGACATAGTTAGGAAGGAGTAGCAGACGCACAGTGACGTAGTTGAGGTGAGTATCGTGCACGTGACTTTCGCTGACTTCATAGGACTCCTCGCACAACTGATACTCCGTACAGACTTGCATGTACAGCCCTTCTGATACTCGATAACCGTCACATGTTTCATGTATGTGGGATTTGAATAAACCCCCCCCCCCAAAAAAAAAACAGTTGATTTGAAAATCTTTTCACTTGAATGGATGAGATGAGAAGAAGATGGTTTTTTTTTTAAAAAAAAAACCCCCCAAAGAACCCATTCTACCCGCTGTGTTGAATGCTTCCCGTCGTACACGCTCCTTCGTTGAATCAAGGGCGGCCGTCCCTCACACACTCTACGTATGTGCTACCGATTTGTACTGACTGATAATACTACCTACCTACGCAGTGCCGCTCTCCCTAGCCTAGAACAGACCGTCAATCTCACCCGTCTCGGTGTCGACATCGACATTGAGGTATCCCGGTGCCGTCGGGAGACCGGGGATAGTCTGGACATCAGCCGCAAGGGCGTACCTGTTCGTACCTGTCAGATAAGATCGGAAGGGAGGGGGAGAGGAGACGGAGAGAGAGGGAGAGAGAGAGAGACGTACAGATAACCGGCACCCGCAGCCATGCGGACATCCCGGATGGGAATGGTGAAGCCGGTGGGAGCACCCTTCAGATCCGGATCGTGCGACAGCGAGTACTGCGTCTTGGCCACGCAGATGGGCAGGTTGCCGTATCCCTGCCGGGTATACGTGTCCACCTTGGACTGCGCGAGCTCGCTGAACTCGACGCCCGCCGCCCCGTACATGTTGCGGCCGATGGTCTCGATGCGCTCCTGGATCGATCCCTCGAGGTCGTACGTCAGGCGCAGCTGGCCCGAGGCCGTCAGGTCCTTGGGCTTCGAGCTCGCCGCCACGACGCCCCTGGCCAGGTCGACCGCTCCGGCACCTCCCTCGGCCCAGTGGTTGGCCAGGATGGCGTCCGACGCGCCCGCCGCCATCGCCTCCTCGCGCACCACCGCAATCTCGGCCTCCGTGTCCGTGCCGAACTTGTTGATGGCCACCACCACCGGCACGCCAAACGACCGCGCGTTCTCAATGTGCTTGCGCAGGTTGACGCAGCCCGCCCGTAGGATCTCGACGTTCTCCTGCTTGTACACCGGGTCCAGCGCCGCTCCGGGTGCGATGGGTGGGCCGCCGCCGTGCACCTTGAGCGCGCGCACCGTCGCCACGACCACCACCACGTCCGGGACGAGTCCCGATGCCCGGCACTTGATGTTGAAGAAACGCTCGCCGCCCATGGTGAAGTCGAAGCCGGCCTCCGTCACGACGAAGCCGGCCTTGGCGTCGTGGTCCTCGTCCGGCTCCGTGCCCGCCAACTTGAGCGCCAGCTTATCTGCCAGGATCGAGCTCTGCCCGATGCTGATGTTGGCAAACGGACCGGCGTGCACGAACACCGGCGTGCCTTCGAGCGTCTGCATCAGGTTGGGCTTGATGGCATCCTTCATGAGCGCCGTCAGGGCGCCGCCCGCACCGATGTCGTCGCACGTCACCGGGTCACCCGCCCGCGACGACGCAACCACCATCCGGCCCAGCCTCTCGCGCATATCCGCCAGGCTGGTGCTCAGGGCAAGAATGGCCATGCACTCGCTCGCCACCGAGATGTCGAAGCCTGTCTCACGCGCCTGGCCCTTCTCCGTCGACGCCGTGCCGACCGTCACGCCGCGAAGGTGGCGGTCGTTGACGTCCAGCACGCGCCTCCAAGTGATCGTGTCCGGGTCAATGTCGAGACGTGCAAACCGGCCGATTTCCTCCTCATTGAGGTCGTCCGGGTTCGTTTTGTCGATGCCCAGCTTCTTGAGGCGGCGCAGCATGACGGGGGCAAACTTGCGCTGCCCGTTCTTGGCCGGAACCAGGCGCCGGTAGAGGGGTCCGTTCTTCTGCGTGTTCTCGTGGAAGATGCGCGTCTCGATGGCCGCAGCCAGAAGGTTGTTGGCCGCCGTGATGGCGTGGATGTCGCCCGTCAGGTGCAGGTTGAACTCGTCCATGGGGATGACCTGGCTGTAGCCACCGCCGGCAGCGCCACCCTTGATACCAAAGGTAGGGCCCTGGCTGGGCTGGCGTACGTTGGCAAACGACAGGCGTCCCAGGTGGGCACCCAGAGCCTGGGCCAGACCCATGGTCGTCGTCGACTTTCCCTCGCCCAGCGGCGTGGGCGTGATGCCCGTAACGACCACATAGCGGCCGTCGCGGCGGTGCGAGAGACGCTTAAGCAGGCTCAGGTCCACCTTGGCCTTGTAGGCTCCGTACGGCTCCAGCTCGTGAGGGGCGATGCCAACCTCTTCGGCAATGCGCGTAATCTGCTTGGGCGTCTGGGACCTCGACACGGCAATGTCGGACGGCACAGGGTCCTGGAGCTTTAGAGGCAGAGGGATCGTCTTCCTCAGCTTCTGCCTCTCAAAATAGTGCGTCGTGGCGTCGACAACGTTCTGCATCAACATGGCCACCGTCATGGGTCCTACCCCACCAGGGACGGGCGTGATGGCCGACGCGACCTGGCAGGCCGATTCGTAGTTGACGTCGCCCACCAGGCGGAAGCCCGTCTTCCTAGTCTCGTCGGGGACAAAGTTGGTGCCCACGTCGATGACGACGGCACCCTCCTTGAGCCACTCACCCTCCACAAAATTGGGGCTGCCAATGGCGGCGACGACGACATCGGCCGTCTTGAGGAGCTCCTGGAGGTTCCTGGTCTTGGAGTGGCAGACGGTGACGGTGGCGTCAGCGTTCCTGAGCAGGTAGCTCACGGGGCTGCCGACAATGTCGCTGCGGCCAATGACGACGGCACCCTTGCCGGCCAGGTCGACGCCCGACTCCTTGAGGAGGTGCATAACACCCTTGGGAGTACAAGGGATGAAGCGGGGGCTACCGCCCTTCTTGGCCAGCTCGCCAATGTTGTTGGTGCCGAAGCCGTCGACATCCTTCTCGTCAGCCACCGAAGACGTGACGGCGTACTCGGAGATGTGGGCGGGGACGGGGAGCTGGACGAGGATTCCGTGGACATCGGGGTCCTGGTTGAGCGAGCGGATCTGGTCGAGCAGCTCGGGCTCCGAGATGTCGTCGGGCAGGTGGATCAATTCGCAATCAATGTTGGCCTGTGAGAGAGGAGAGACAAGGTGTGTGTAAGTTTCTAGCCTGTCGGGGAGGGTGCTGGCTTTGCCACGTAGTAAGACGTACCTCGGAAGCGGCCTTGAGCTTCATGCGAACATAGGTGGCTAGAGGACGTCAAGTCAGCGGGTTTGCGCCAGCAGCAACAGCAGGTAAGCAGCAGAAAGAGGTGCTGTCCGGATCGTTTCTGCCCACATACAGGAGTCTGAGCGGTCGCCCACTGCATAAGAAAAAGTCCAGGTCAGCAAAAGCGATGTCGGGAGAGGAGGCGGGGGCAACGGAGGGCATACCTTGGATGATCTTGAGGCAGGGCTTGTACCTGGGGTTGAGCTTCTGCCTCTCAGCAACCTCGATGCCAAGGCGCTCGCGAATAGACTTGGCGATGGCAGTGCCATCAAGCTTTGTGGCAACCATGGCTCCGGCCGCGGTGGTGATCAGACGGCTATGGGTGAGGTGATGTGACTGAGAAGCTGTCGAGGTTGTTGCCAAGGTCGGCCGCGATGAAGCAGAGGAGGGGGAGCGGGGCAGAGGGCAAGGTGATGCGTTGCTCCTTCCGATAAGGGTATTAGCGGTGGTAGTGGGCTGACTGCCGCTAGCATGACCGTCAACACTTCCGCTAATAGCGCTGCCGACGCCTGAAACCGCTGCATGATAACAGGCTCTGTTCAAGCACCCGGCGATTAATCGGCGTCTGCCCCGAGTCAGGATCGGCGACATTCCGCCCCCAACACCCAACATCGAGTACATCTTACCCAGCATAACTCGTTTTTTTAATTTCTTTTTAATTTCTTTTTTTTGCTAGGCCCGTAGTGAGGGACTCGGGCTTCTTCGGCTCAGCAGCCGTCGGCCTCGCGGCTGTTTGCCGTGCTTGGGTGATCAAACACCAACGTCGTGTGTGGCCACTACTGCCGTAAGGGGCAAAAGAGCCACCACTATCTATCTCTCTCACCGATCAGTACAATCATCCCGTGCACGTTACTAGTAGCCAATGCTTGCATACACATACCGAGAACTGGGGCCTCAAACTGGGTCCTGCGAACAACAGGCTCGGAAGACTTGTATTGTAGCAGGTCGCCGTTGATATCGTTCCATGCTGCGCCGGCAGCGTCTGATGGCGGGTATTGACGGGTTGCCAACCCCTCGGTACATTGTATGACAGCAAACGATGGCTTGTCAAGTGGCTCTAGAGTACGTCGTAGAGTTTGTCCTACATACGCAGGCAGGGCACATACTCCTCGAAGATCTTGTCGCGTCGGGCAGTGTGAGAAGCCGCTGGGTCTGCTGCTGCTGCTGTTGCTGGTGCCTGGCAAAGCAGAAAAGACAGCTAGGCTGGTCAACAGAGGCGGCTGCTTGCTCAGAGATGATGCGAAGGCGGATGGACAGAAGAAGGTGACACCCCTTTGCAGGTCAGAGAGTGTGTGTGTACGCGATACTATCAGTCCAGCATCAGCACCATCTTCGTTCTGACGCGTGCCTCCTGTCCAGGCCCTCGGGAGGCGAACAGTTGGCGTACCTCAGGCCTTCTTCTTCCAAAAGGGGGAGCTCTTCACTGTGTTAATATCACAGGTCATGCGTTACTGTACCTTTACACCATAAACAGATTATTTATGGTAAGGTCCAGGTCCCAACTTCCGCCACAGTCATGGCTGGGCCCTTGTGGCGTCAGCCGCGGGGAGTCACAACTCTTGCCCCACCAAAACGCACAACCCGCCCAAAATTTCCCACGCCTCAAGTCCTCTGACTAGATCACCAGCGACCTCCTTCGACCGACCCCTCCCCGCCCACATCCCTTTCCGTTCGAGTTGTGACCGGAGTCGAAAGAACTTTACCGATCTGCCCAATATGAGACCTATCCTTCTTTCCGGGCACGAGCGTGCGCTCACCCAGATCCGGTACGCTTTGCGAGAGATTGAATGAAGACCCTGCCTGATGGCTGCCCCCACCCCCTCATCACCACACGATCAATTTGCCCTGCGGTGCGAATTTTCGAGAGAGGAAATTTGGGAAGGAAGGGCGGATTTTCAATCAGTGAAGAGGGTGAAGAGGGGACAGAAGAAGAAGGAAAAATTACTGACTTGCTGGTGCGCCGCATCTTTTCTCCCCTAACAGATACAACCTCGACGGTGACCTCATCTTTTCGGTCGCCAAGGACCAGCACATCTGCGCGTGGTATTCTCACAACGGCGAACGCCTGGGAACGTACCAGGGTCACGTGGGAGCCATCTGGACGGTAGATGTCGACCCCACGACGACGATGCTGGCGTCGGGCTCGGCCGACAACACGATCCGCCTGTGGGACGTCAAGTCCGGCCGCTGCCTCAAGACGTGGGAATTCCCCACGGCCGTCAAGCGCGTCGAGTTCAACGAGGACGGCACCAAGCTGCTGGGCGTGACGGAGAAGCGCATGGGCTACCTGTCCAACATTGTCGTCTTCGAGATCAACCGCGACGTCGACGCCGAGCAGACCGACGAGCGCTTCCTGACCATTGTCTGCGACGAGTCCAAGGCCACCGTCGCCGGCTTCAGCTACCTCGACAAGTACATCATCGCCGGGCACGAGGACGGAAGCATCAGCCAGTACGACGGAAAGACCGGCGAGCTCATTGACAATGTCCCCATCCACGAGCTCAACCAGCCCATTGTCGACCTCCAGTGGTCCTCTGACCGTACCTACTTCATCACTGCCTGCAAGGACAAGACGTCCAAGGTATGTTTTGACTCCATCCTCCCTTCTCTCTCCCTCTCTCCCTCTCCCTATCCATCCGCTCTATTTTTGAAAAAAAATAAAATAGAGAATATGCTAACGAAACACCCCCAACAGCTCATCAGCGCTCGCGACCTCGAGGTTCTCAAGACGTACACAGCCGACACCCCCCTCAACAGCGCCTGTATCACCCCAAAGAAGGACTTCGTCATCCTCGGCGGTGGCCAGGCCGCCATGGACGTCACCCGCACCTCTGCCCGCCAGGGTAAGTTCGAGGCCCGCTTCTACCACAAGATCTTTGAGGACGAGGTCGGCCGTGTGCGTGGCCACTTTGGTCCCCTCAACACCGTCGCTGCCGATCCCACGGGCAAGAGTTACGCTTCCGGTGGTGAGGACGGTTACGTCCGCGTCCACCACTTTGACAAGGGTTACTACGATTTCCTCTACGAGGTTGAGAGGGAGCGCATCAACCGGATGTCTTAGATGGAGGGAGGGAAGAGAAGGAATCAAAAGCGAAAATGGAAATGAAAACAAAAAACCAACGGGAAGCCAGGATAACCTATCTATCCACTTATGAATGACTTGAACTGTTTTTTTATAAGAAAAAAAAAACAACCAAAAGAGAAGAGGGGTCTTCTGATGTCTTTTTTCCAGTCCTTATTTTTTTTTTTTTGCTTTTTTTTACGCTGGGCCCAGAGAGCTCCGGGGGGCCACATCAAAGGGGTCTTTTTGGTTTTCCGTCGGCTTTTGGCATCGTTTGGCGTTTTTTCGGCAGGGAGGACCAAGATGAAGAAGGGAATATATAGGATGAGAAACAGAAAAGAAAAAACTCCATACAAATGACAAAATATGTATGATCTCAGCATTTATTCTCCCCCCCCCGCTCGCCCGCCAAAGTCACCGTGAAATGAAAATCAACGTTTCTGAAATAAAGAAAAATACATCTCAACAACCACAATGGTATGAAACTCTTCTACGTGACAGAAATATGATGAGGGGGAAGAAATACTTACAAGTATAAGAAATAGTAAATAAGAAAACTTACAACTCGAGTGAACGAGGACAAGTTGGAAAAAAAAATAACGCCAGTATCTATCCCGCAACCATCTCCTTCCTTGACCAAATTTTAGTGTTCTCTCTCTCTCTCTCTTCACATCTCTTTGCCCCGAACCTGAAGAGAGAAGAGAAAGGAAGGACGAAGAAGAGTAAAACATCATCCCTTATTTCTTTCCCTTTTTCGACTTGGAACTTCCAGCTCCAGCCGATGTCGTAGATGCCACGCTCGATGCTCTCGATCGTGAGGCTGAGCTCGTCTTGCTTCCCTTGGCCGACTTGACATTGTCCAGAGCCTTGTTCTGTGGGATTGTTAGCTTTCATTTATATAGATATATCGGTATACGGGAGAAGATACCTTGACGCCATTCTTGGCCTTCTTCTTTGCAGGACCGCCGTTGCTGACGATTGAATCGTCATCCTCTTCATCAACAGGTTCCCTCTTGGGCTTGGCAGACGCGCCGTTGGACTGGCGCGGGGCTGAGGACGTCGTGGTGGCCGCGGCGCCTTCGTCGAACTCCTTGACGACAGTGGTGATGAGCGTGGTGCAGCGGCGGGAAAGCTCGGTGGGCGTGCGGCTGAGGAAGAACCAGTCGAAGCGGAAGAGCGGCGATTCGCGAATCTCATCGCGGATCTTCTCGTACAGGCCCTCCGAGTCGATGCCGAAGCGGTCGAGCTGGACCAGCAGGAAGCGGTCCTCCTCCTCGGTGTAGACCTTCTTGTTGGTCGTCGACACCGAGTAATTGACCTTGAGCTGCTGGAGCGGCACGCGGTACTGCTGCATCTTCTTGCGGAGCAGCTTGCGCTGGTGCTCGATGCGGCGCGCGCGCTCCTCGCCGTCCTCAATCACCTTGATGTACCGCTGGAAGTCGGCAATCTCCGTGTACCGCTGCCAGAAGACCTTGGCGTACGCCTTCACCTCGGCCTCCGTCTTGCTACCCAGCTCGGCCGCGATGCCGGCATAGCTGGTCCGCCCGCACCGCGCTGTGGCGTTGATGAACTGCTGGAAGTCGCGCTTGTTCCAGTCGCCGAAGCCCTGCGTCGCAAGTTCCTCCTTCTCTTGCTGCTCCTCCTCCGTCAGCGCCGTCGCGTCGTCAATCTCCTGCTGCTCCAGCGCTCGCTCTGCCTCCCGCTCCTCCTGCTTGTCGTCGTCGCCGTCCGGTAGGGGGACCTTGTACCCGATCTCCTTACGGTAAAAGGCCGTCTCCCTCTCCTGCAGGTCACGCAGCCGCGGCGGGTAGAACTGGTAGTCGTGCACGGCAATCTGCTTGGGTGCCCGCGGCGCCTTGGGTTTCGCCTCCGCCTTGGGGTTCGGGTACATGGCCTGCCGGAAGTACTTGTCCATAGAGTATGACTGCTCCTTGCGTTCGCGCTTGGCTGGGTTGATCCAGGACGCGCCGATATCCTTCTTCGTGTTGGCAAAATTCTCACCGTTCCACTCGTATGCCGACTCGGACGTAAACTTCTGGAGGTCATCCAGTCCCAGCTTCTCGTATTTGGCGTTGAGCTCCTTTGTCCGGTTCTCGCCCTGGGCCAGGATCGCCTCGATATCGTCGTCGTCGATGTTGGCGCCCTTGGACGCCATTCCGCCCGACTTGGCCTGGAAGACTTTTTCGGCTCCGTGCTGGATCATGTTCAGCAGGTCATCCTTGTTGGCTGCCGCCTTGGCCGCCACCTGCGCCCTGCCCTGCTGGATGACGAGCTGATCGAGACGGAGCTTTTGGGCTGCACGCTCCAGCACCTTTTCTTCGATGGCGTTGTCCGTGACGAATCTGTACACCACGACCTGCTTCGTCTGACCGATCCTGTGGGCTCGGTCCATGGCCTGGAGATCCGCCTGGGGGTTCCAGTCGCTGTCGTAGAGAACCACGATGTCGGCAGTCGTCAGGTTGATACCGAGACCGCCAGCTCGTGTGGTGAGGAGGAAGACAAACTTCTCCGAGCCAGGCTTGTTGTACTCATCGATAGCGGCGATACGGTCCTCGTGGGCCGTGCTGCCGTCGATGCGGCAGTATTTGTACTCTCTAAAGACGCAGTAGTCCTCAAGGATGTCGAGCAGACGGCTCATCTGGGAGAAGATGAGGACTCGACTTCCCTGCTTCTTCATGCGGGCCAGGAGCTTGTCCAGAACAGCCATCTTTCCGCTGTTGTAGATGAGGTGTTCGTCCGTCGTGTAGGGGGGACCCGGCTCGGCGCCCTCGAACAGATAGGGGTGGTTGCAGCACTTGCGCAGTTGCATCACGATGTTGAGAAGTCGTGTCTTGGACTCGCGCTTTCCTCCAGCGCCATTGACGGCGTCGATATCCTTCTCGAGGATCTTCTGATACCACTTGACCTGCATATCTGACATTCCCAGATACAGATTCACCTCCTTCTTGGGCAGCAGGCTCTTCTCCACGTCGCTCTTGACACGGCGAAGCAGGAAGGGGCGCAGGATCCTATGGAGCTGCTGCACAACTCTGTCCTGATCCTGGTCCTCACCGGAGAACCATTGGTCGAAGGCCTCGGAGTCGCCAAAGACATCAGGCAGCAGGAAGTTGAGCAGTGCCCACAGCTCGTGAAGGTTGTTCTGAAGAGGAGTGCCCGTGATCAACAGACGGTTGAGTGACGAGAAGAGGCGGATGACTTGCGATAGCGAAGACTCTTCGTTCTTGATACGGTGGGCCTCATCAATGATGATGTACTTCCAGGGAAGCTTTTTCAGGTGGCTCTTTTCGCGGAGGACCATTTCGTAACTGGTGATGCAAACGTCAAACTTTGCGTCGACTAAGCGTTCGCTGATGAGGTCCTGGCGCTCCTCCTTTGAGCCCTGCAGGACGAGAACGTTGACCTCGGGGGTCCAGCGCTCGAACTCGCGCTTCCAGTTGTCGAGGGTCGACTTGGGCACGGTGACGAGGTGCGGGCCGGTAATGTCGCAAACGTGGCGCAGGTAGCCGAGGAAGGAGATGGTCTGAAGAGTCTTGCCTAGACCCATTTCGTCGGCGAGGATACCAGAAATACCATTCTCGTGTAGGGAGATCATCCAGTTGAGACCAGCAACCTGATAGTCACGCATAGTTCCCTGAATGAAAGGTGGCGAATCTCTGTAGACGGTCTCAGCAGCCCCGCCTTGCCTCTCATCCTGGATGAGCTCGGCGTCCTCCTCGGCTTCTGTGCGTCGGCGACGGTCGACTGCGGCACCACCCTGGCGACCGGTCTTCTTCTTCGACTTGGCACCTTCGTTGTTCTGCCGGTCAATCTCGGCCATAATCTCGCGAATCTTGGGGTCGGGGTTGGTCTCGATAAAATGGCGGAACAGATCCGTCAGGCCCAGCAGGTAGCGGAAACGCCTGATGGTGTCATTTTGCTTCACAATTGAAATATTGTGTCAGCGCAAATCTTTTTTCCCCATGGTCTGATGCCTCTATTTCCTACCTTGGACTCTTCGAGGCTGTCGTGCTTCTTCTTGAGCACAGCCTTCTGCAGCTGGTTGTTCTCGGCGCGACGCTTGCGACCGTCCAGCTCACCAACGACACTGCTCTCTGTCGTGTCAGGCTGCGCGTCGGAGTCGGTATTGTCTGGGGTCTCATCCACTTCCTGAAGGTGATTCGCCTGTGTTAGCTATGGAGCGCGAGGGGGGTGCCGAGTCAGGCGGGTACGGGGAGGAAAGCAATTCGTTACCATCTCGTCGGCGACACGGTTCTCGGGCGCTTCGGACATGGACGCATCCACGTCGGTGTCGGCGCCGTTGTTCTGAGATTGGGGCGCCATGGTGACTTGCGAGCACCCGGTGGACCTCTTTACGCGCCTAGGCAGGCTCTCGACGCGTTTGAAAAGTGAAGTGAATCGAGGACGGGGGCCAAGAGGATGGTCTCGGGGTATATAGAATGTCTTGTTCCGTTTGTGGGGATAACAGTGCCGATGTCCCTGCGTGATTAAAGAGTATGGGCGGCGATAATAATAAAAAAGGAGGAAAGATGTTTTGTGGAAGTGGTTGACCGAGTGGCATCTGCAAATGCACGTCAAAGGGCAGCGAGTTTGGGGCCTAGCGCGATGGTGCGTACTCGTACCCGGTACAGCAACCCCCAACAGGGGTGAAGAGCCCCACGAACCAGGAATGCGGGACAAGGAAAATCCGATATCCAGTGTATGATTGCGATGCAGTGATGAGGCATGGAACGGTACATACTTATGAGCACCGATCGAATCTCATGATTCTCTTTTTATTCTGTCAGCTATCACTACTTGTATCAGCAGTCCTGTCACTGATACATCCCACGATTTTGCTTTCGAGTTGCTGCTCCTGCTAATGCGCCCATAGCTATGCATGTACTCGGTACTATAACGGGAGTACGGATACATGTATATCATAATACCCTATTCTGATACCCAGAGCAATGACAAAGCCCGCCACATGGTCACGTGAACTGACGCCCTGTAAAACCCCCCGCCGTTGTGGCTTGTTGCTGACTTGCCCCTCGGTTACATGATTGACTCGTAATGCTGTAATCTGTACAGATTACCGCCCGTGGGTTTTTGCAAACGAGACGGTCGACCAATATTATCACTCCTTCCCCGTATATGCATCATTATCCCCTAACCACCACCTTTCCGTCCACAAGGGTGCGGCACAGCATCCTGTACCTATCAATTTCAGTCGGAAGCCGCAAACTTCATGGTCACGACTGTTAGAATCACGCAGAAACTCTATCTCTACTCCACTCGGCAGCCTACTTCTGTTTCCTTCTCCACCTTCTGGGGACCCGAAAATCTTCACGTCAATCATCACCTCAGTGGCTGATACTGCAGCCTTCCGTGCCCAACCCGTTCGAGGTGACTAGCAGAAACCCTTTGACGGGGCTGTGCAAACCGAAGAGTGCGACTGACAGTTTTCTCCTTTCCACAGAAGAGCGATACACACGAGTGAACTCTTCCGAGAGGGTCACACACGCTCACCATGGCCATGCAGAACGATTCCCCCGAGCAACTCCTCGACGTATTCAAGGCTGCGGCTCTTTCCGTCACCCGTCTGTATAAGTCATCAGTCTCGGCAGAGACCAGGGCGAGGGCCGACGGATACCAGGACTGCTTGGATGACCTGGTGTCCTTTCTCGACAGGGAGGGTGCCGCCGGTCTCGGCGAACCTGGCCTGTCCAGGATGAGGAAATGGGCGGCCGAGCGCCGTGAAGGCCGAGATGCTAGTCCCCAGACGTTTGAGAGCGAGGACGAGACGGACAAGGGCGAGTCAGCATCGCTGCCGCCTGTACCTGCTCGTTCAGCGCCGAGAGCAACCATGGAGAGCCGGCAGCCGACGGCGACGCCGATGGAAACGACGACAGCACCGCCGCAACCACACCCGACCAGCGGCCCGGACTCCACGGCCGAGGAGGAGCCTCGACCTCCGCAGTTCATCGTGCCGACACAGGATAACTTCACCTTCCAGTCGGACCACCAATACCCCAACATCGAGCTCCTCGACCTGTCGGATTCGAGGGGTCACGTCGGCCACCACCCGAGGTCGCAACGCCACCGCCAGGGTAAGTCCGGGATGCGCACCTCAGGACCTCTGGGGCGTGGTTCCGGTTCCAAGCGACGGATGGATCTGGATGACTTCTTTGGCGGCTGCTTCGGTGGCGCCAAAGATCCGTCTGGCGGCAGCAGCAAACGGAGCCGTCACTCATAATCGGTCTGGGCTCCCACCGTCACCAGGTGGGACGTGACGTGACGATGAGGTACGGGGTGGATAGCATACATCTCTCGCATCCTCTCGTCGGACCCCGCTTGCACGAATTTATTTTGTTTCTTATCTGTCTTGTAGGATGAAGCGATGCATATTGTTACGGATGGGCGCAGGACTATCATTGGCATGGACGGCGTTTTGAGGATGTAACAGATCCTGCATCAATTTGTGCTGGAAAGTTGTTTTGCGGGCCTTGGAAAAATGACTTTGAGGGAGAGATATCTCCTGTCTGGAAAATCTCCATTCGGCGGACATATCTTTTCTCCTTTTCAGTGCGATTCATTTGGTATTTGCATAGTATAATATAAAATACAACATCTACTACTACTACAAAAAAAAAAAAAAAAAAAAAAAAAAAAAAAAACACACGCCTCACGCACATACACGTGCTAAAGAGACCACAGTACATGTGGTATATGGCAACAGTAAGCTAGTAATGTTTGATCGTTCTCATACATCACCCGAAATTTCTTCGTCATTCTACTTGCAGCTCTTAGATGCTACACCTGCGGCAAGTTGGCTCTCAGGTCCTTGATATCGTCGCTGAGCTCCGGGTTCCTCTGTTCCAGCTCAGCGATCCTCGATGACGAATGCACAACTAAGCACCGACCCGGTCATCTCGAGAACTTGGTTCATCTCCCTGACCCACGGCTCCTTGGACATGTTCACCTCACAGGCAGTGAGCCGCACAGAGATGTTGAGAAGCAAAAAGGCAACGTCGAGAGCCACCGGGCCCATGGTGAAGTGGTGTCTGTCCCTAGAGGACAAGGCAAGACGTCCGGAAGCACGAATGTGCTTCATCCACGACACGAGACGGGATGTCGCGTCTGGGCACCAGTGTGGCAAACTATCGTAACCAGCAGACAACGAAGCGTCCCCTGTACAGGCAAGTGATGGGTTAACAAGGGGAGAGGTGGTTGAGATGCCAGAGGCAACCGACTTGCATCAACTACGAGTAGTAGCAGGTCTACTCTTCACCGCTGGCAAAAAAAGAAATGACACTGCGGATTAAACAGCTACTCGTACATGGTTCACGACGGGCCTCTACGACGTAATACAACACATGTGAGCGGAACCGCACTACGAGTACGGGCAGCATCACTGGAGTATTACCGGCGTATTACTGCAGATAGTAGCATGCATATTCTTCGAGCTCAACAGGGTAACGAGCCACGAGCCAGGTAATAATATATTAATATTACAGCCTTCGGGTAATTCCCGGCTCTACCCCACGGAACTGAACGCCCGAGGCTGCCCTGGCAAAGAAACCTGCCGCCTTGTTGTGACGGAAGAGCACCAGAGTCAAGTTGAGCCTCACAAACCTGCGCTCCATTCACCATCCCCATTTTCGCTCATCTCCTCTGCCTTTTCCCTCTCTCCCTCTTTCTCGCATCCAGCGCGTCGGCCCCATCTCTTTCTTTCCGTTGCCCGGTTATTTCCTGAATTCGACAGCGCGAACGGCGCTTTCAGAACAAACACAGAACGCAGTCCTTGTAAGCAAAAAGCATCATTACGTGTTTTGGGGAGTCCGCGTCGAGAGCCCAAGCAGATTGTTCTCAACCTTTTTTTTTTCCGTGACCAGCTACTACCACTACTACCATTACTACTACTACTATCATCACTGCCTGACAGATTACTGACTTCCTCTACCTCTTCCCGACAGACAAAACAACTATACACGACGCAACGCAACGCAACCATGTCGGACGCGGAGAAGCCAGAGGAGACGCCGGTGGAGGATCAGCCTCGTGCGCAAGAGGGGGAGGCAGGCCCCAACGATGAGGTTCGTAAGGCCAGGAATGCAAGAGATGGAAGTTTTCTTTGACTTTTGTTTTCTTTCTTCTCCGAAAAATCGTCTTCTCCTTCCCACTCTCTTGAACGAGATGGGAAAGGGATAATCATGAAGGAGAAGCGAGAGAAAAGAAGCGGGAGCAACAGCAAACTAACGTATCGGTTGGTGCCGAATGAAATAGGAAGAAATCTCAGCCATGAAGCGCCGTGTGGCCGAGATGGAAGAGGAGGCCAAGAAGCTTCGCGAGATGCAGGGCACGCTGGAGCAGCAGTCAGCCGACCTGGCGGACGACAAAGAATCTGTCGATTCGCGCAGCATCTTTGTCGGCAACGTCGACTACTCTGCCTCGCCCGAGGAGATTCAGGCGCATTTCCAGAGCTGCGGGTCTATCAACCGCGTCACCATTCTGCTCGACAAGTTTACCGGTCAGCCTAAGGGGTATGTCTCTCTCTCCCTCTCTCCCTCTGTCTCTTCTCCTTCCTCGATGCGGTTGCCTCCAGGCTCCTCCCATCCTTCCTCGAAGGCGCCTCTGGACATCTATCTCTCTCCACTCCTTGGCCACGACATCGGATATCAGACAAGAGGACATCCTGCTAATGATCTTGCGTGTGCGATCAACAGATACGCCTACGTCGAATTCACCGAGCCCAGCCTCGTGGCACAAGCCCTTGTCCTCAACGAGAGCGTCTTCAAGGGACGCAGCATCAAGGTGACGCCCAAGCGCACCAACGTGCCCGGGATGAGCCGCGGCCGCGGCCGTGGAGGCTTCCGCGGCGGTGGCCGAGGATTCCGTGGCGGAGGTGGCTTTCCCCCTCGTGGCGGTTACCGCGGCGGATACCGGGGCCGCGGACGGGGTTACACCCCTTACTAGGATCAAGGACGTGGACTTGCTGATGTCCCGGATAACTTCCCCTCCTATCTCCTCCACCACCATTCCGCATATACTGCCGGGGGGGGGATGCTGCTTGGGCACGGTCATGGGCAGCAAGGTCTCGTCAGCCTGCCGTCCCGCGTAGGCAACGGCAATGTCGACCACCAGGGCTTTCCTCGTGCCATTGCCCACCCTGGCATGTTTGAAGGCGACAGCAGCGGCTACCTGTACGGTGATAATTACTACTACTACTACCGCCAGAACCAGTCCATCGGCCATTAGTACCTCTGAAGACGAACGCCTGCCTTGGCTGGTCCTGCTGCTATCTGTCGGAACCGCCCAGTCGAACGAAAGCAGAGGAAAGAAAATAAGAAGAAAAAAAAAGTTTGAAATTGAAGCCAAGAAAAAAAAACCGACTCTCTCACTTCTTTCTATAGGGTTCATGAGAGTGTCCGCCCAAAAAAAAAGAAAAGAAAAAGAAAAAAAAACACCCCAAACCAAACCAAACCAAACTAAAAACAGCGTTGTTGGATGGAAGATGAGAGAAGAGGATTAAAAAAAATGAGAAGGGAGCAAATATGTCAGAAGTGTATACTATGGTTTTTGTGGCACAAGCAAAGGCGGCAAGGGCGCGAAACAGACGGACAGGGAGTTCTAGGTCGATTTTTTTTAATCCTTTATTTTATTTTTTATCTTTCTTTTTTTTTTTTTTTTTTTTGCAGACAAGCCGTTGGGGTAGGGGCACCAATTCGAATGTCGTTGGAATGGGTTTTTTTCCTTCATCGTCTGTATGTTGTTGTTTCTTACATCATCAGACATATTCTACTAGTAGTAATAGTAGTAGGAGGCGCATGTGATGAAGTTGAATGCATGGTGGATGGCCTGGTAGTGTGCCCACAGCAAGATAACGGATCAGGGCATCCCAAAGAGGACGAGACCGAGATCTATCCAGGTCCAGAGGTATACTGCATTGAAGGGTCACAGGCTGAATAGTTGTATCGAGCAGGATGTCATATAATCTGTATAGTTGTCTATCTGGAATCCGATCATCTTCCCGCTATGGGACAGCCACAGGGTAAGCCATGTGAAGGGGAAGATGCAGGTGACGCAGTGAGAAGAGAGAGAGGCACGTGCTCGCTCTCGCAATGCTACCATGCCGCATAAATTTGCGTGTGAAGAGACCGATGGCCAATTTTTTATCCTATTTCAATTTTTTATTTATTTAGAAGAGAGGATGCAATTTGGTTTTTCTCTAATCTGTACAGAGTGGGATGTATCATCATGTATGACGACAAAGAGCGGCCGGCAGCCCGGGACAGTCATGTCTGTGACAGTGGTACTCCACGCCTGTCACGGCCAGAGATCCAATCAGAGTCTGGGTGGGTGTGGCTGGTTGCCGGTGGGAGAGTGCGTACGGCGTACTGCGGCGCATTAAGGGGCACGGGAGATGGACGTGGCAGCTTGGGAGTAGGTAAAACCAACATACGGGGTAATACTAATAATAACCAGTACCGATAATACCTAGTAGGGGTAGTGGTAGTATCGCATCTCATACCTGTGCGTTATAGCGTTGAAGTCGTCGATGATGTTTTGAGTCCGGTTTGGAGTTCTGCAGCGTACGACCACAGGCAGCCAGCCAGAAGCCATTCCAAGGGACCTGGATCTGCCTGGTATCAATCAAGACGCTCGGCTCAGCGGCACCAGCAAGGTTGCAGCGAACCCGTATTTTTTTCTCTTACTAGCGGTAAATCTACAGGTACCTGTACATGTACAATGGTGCGCCAACACCGTGAACGGGGGGGTTAGAGGCACAGAGAGAGAGAGAGAGAGACAGGCAGACAAGAGCTAGAAGAACGACGACATGGGATAACTAATCACACAAATCCACCTGTCCTGAACATGGTCGATACTTTCCTCGTATCCGTTACGCTGCGCAAGAAGCCGATTGCTGACACCCGTACGAAGGACCAGCCTCCTCTGAATCGTGTTTGCGTACCTTAGGTCCTGGTGTTAGAAGTCGCCCTCCCTCGCCCTCCCTACATGGCCGCAGCGTTCTGCCACAGCTGGAGCGGCTACAGGGTTCCGTACAGGTAGTACGGAGTACATGTACAGACAGCATAGGCTGGGCGCCTAGCGTTACTACTCAGTATAGTATAGGTAGGCTACAGGCCACTGATGGATGCGTTCAGCTCCGGGTCCGGTAACAACTGCGGTACCTACCTGGAAGGTAGTGGACAGCCCGCCCGAGCTTATAATACCTGTAAGACTATCTCCATGCACTGTAAAATCCCAAACATGCTCTATATGTACCCGAGTCCACAACACTCTAGGCTCTATTCTAGGTACAGGTAGGTGTGGCCTTTCATGACGCTCCGACCACAGAAAAAAAAGCACATAATAGTCGTACTCCGTATTAATATTCCACTCCGTAGATGCCGTAAAAAATCCATGCCTCTTCTCCCTGGGTCCCTGGCAATCGTACGGTTCTACTGGCAGTACAGATTACAAGTAGTAGCGCTACTAATCTGTACATATACAAGCCCACACTGTCGCTATCAGAGCGGGGGTGAATGAAGCCAAGCCCGTCTTTCCCTTTCCTTACCTTGTGCCTTTCTTGCCCGTCCCGAGCCTCGCCTGCTCTTCTTGCTTGGCGCCTCATCTACCCGGCCAAGCCTCAACCTGATCATTTGCACAGCCTCCTCCACGACACACCTTTTGCCTCTCTACTCGCTAGGCCACTGAGGCTTGTGCGTGTGCCTCGATTGCAGTCTTCTCGATTGCCTCAGTCGCCAACCACCACTACCACCCCCCTTGGCAACCTCTCAATTCATTCGCAGTCCTCTCCCCTCCCGCCACCACTTCTCCTCAGCATCATCATCATCACCACCGAGGGAGAGACTCATCCCGCCATTTCCTTCTTCCCCGTCCTCCTCTTTCGCCGCCCCGGTCCGACCCGCCGATATCGTGCGTGCCCCCGTGCTCTCGCTGCTTTGGCGCCGATACGAGGCCGACGTCAATCATGAGCAGAGCAGATCAGGGCTCGGCTGGGTAAGCCGAATTCCTTCGCGACCGTCGCTCTCTCCCCTCCCCCCCCCTCACGAGAGCCTTTTCTCCCCCATCTGCTAACTCTTCTATTTCTCTGTCTCCGTAGGAGGCCCAATCTCCGCATTACAAGTTTGTCTCACCCTTCTTTCCCCCCCTCTCCCCCCGCCAGCTAACAACCGCTCGCCCTCCCCGCCCACTCGGTCCTCTCGAGAGGAAGAGAGAGAGAGAGAGAGTTATCTGTACTGACATCATCGCCATAGTCATTGCTGCCGATGGACTGTATAAGAGAGATGTCTTTCGTATGCCGACTCCTTGTCCTTGCTGTTATTTATCCGTCATCACCTCGTGGCTTGCTGACAAACCCCGCGAAATAGGCTTCCCCGACCCCTTTGCTGTTGCTACAGTCAATGGCGAGCAGACAAAGACGACGAGCGTCTCCAAGCGCACTCTGAACCCTTATTGGAATGAGAGTTTCGACTTGTGAGGATTCCCTCCTGTGCACCGTGACGAGAATGACGACATGTCCAACAATGCAAAATCATGATGGTGATTTGGGAGAAGAGGGGTCCGTTGACAAACGTCGCTAACTGCATCGTGCAACAACACAGTTCCGTCAACGAGGCCAGCATCCTTGCCGTCCAGGTTTTCGACCAGAAAAAATTCAAGAAGAAGGATCAGGGATTCCTCGGAGTCATCAATATTCGAATCGGAGATCTTATGCCTGAGATTGGACCCGGGGTCGACGGTACGTTTCGTCATACGGAGTCACTCGTTCGAAGACGAGAGAGACCAGCAGACTTTTCCCGATCGCAGCTTAACCAACCTTATTGCTGACTTTTGTGTCCAGACCAAATGATTACCCGTGATCTGAAAAAGTCTACCGACAACCTCGTCGTCCATGGGAAACTCATCATCAACCTTTCCTGCGACCTCAGCTCCCCTGCCCGAACTGCTTCCGGGGCCCCTCGACCGGCGCTCACACCCGGTGCCTCCAACATATCATCCTTATCAACCCCGTCTGTGGACAACCGCCCTGGATCAGCCATGTCTGGTAGCAACCATGAGGGAAGCGGCCTCGCTGCCCCGTCCGCCTCGGGCCGCCCGACCAGCGTGAGCAACAGCGCCGCAGTCTCCGGATCTAGCGGCAGCGCCCGCCCCACTAGCCAGCTGAGTCCCTTCGAGGATGCCCAGGGACGCCTCCCGGCTGGATGGGAGCGTCGTGAAGATAACCTCGGTCGCACCTACTACGTTGATCACAACACCAGGACGACGAGCTGGAACAGGCCCACGGCCAACGGCGCCGTCGACAACGGCAACCGCGAGGCCAACACCCAGATGGAGCGCCAGCGCCACCGAGACCGCACCCTCCCCGAGGACAGGACCGGCACCAGCTCGCCCACGCGCCAGGGCTCGCCGTCCCACCAGACCGGCAGCGCCAGCCCCCCCGCCGGCGCCACGACGGCAACAGCGGCGGGCGGCAGCTCGACCGGCGCGGCGGCCGCCGGCGCCAACACTACGATACACACGGGCGCGACGAGCCCCGGCAGCGGCGAGCTCCCGTCGGGATGGGAGCAAAGGTGGACCCCCGAAGGTAGGCCTTACTTTGTCGACCACAACACGCGTACGACGACGTGGGTCGACCCTCGTCGCCAGCAGTTCATCCGCATGTACGGTGGCCAGAACAGCACCAACGGCCAGATCCAGCAGCAGCCCGTGTCTCAGCTGGGTCCCCTCCCTAGCGGGTGGGAGATGCGCCTGACCAACACGGCCAGGGTCTACTTCGTGGACCACAACACCAAGACGACCACGTGGGACGACCCTCGTCTGCCGTCGTCGCTGGACCAGAACGTACCCCAGTACAAGCGTGACTTTAGGCGGAAGCTCATCTACTTCCGGTCTCAGCCTGCCATGCGCATCCTGAGCGGCCAGTGCCACATCAAGATCCGGCGATCGCACATCTTTGAGGACTCGTTTGCCGAGATCACGCGGCAGTCGGCGACCGACCTGAAGAAGCGCCTGATGGTCAAGTTTGACGGTGAGGACGGTCTTGACTACGGTGGCGTGTCGCGCGAGTTCTTCTTCCTGCTGTCGCACGAGATGTTCAACCCCTTCTACTGCCTGTTCGAGTACTCGGCGCACGACAACTACACTCTGCAGATCAACCCGCACTCGGGCATCAACCCAGAGCACCTCAACTACTTCAAGTTTATCGGACGGGTGGTCGGGCTCGCCATCTTCCACCGGCGCTTCCTGGACGCCTTCTTCATCGGGGCGCTGTACAAGATGATGCTGGGCAAGAGCGTGGCGCTGGCCGACATGGAGGGCGTGGACGCCGACTTCCACCGCTCGCTGCAGTGGATGCTGGACAATGACATCTCGGGCGGGATCCTGGAGCAGACGTTCTCGACCGAGGACGAGCACTTTGGTGTCATGACGGTCGAGGACCTGATCCCCGACGGCCGCAACATCGAGGTGACGAACGAGAACAAGAAGGAGTACGTCGACCTCATGGTCAAGTGGCGGATCGAGAAGCGCATCGCCGAGCAGTTCCAGGCCTTCAAGGAGGGCTTCCAAGAGCTCATCCCCCACGAGCTCATCAACGTCTTCGACGAGCGCGAGCTCGAGCTGCTCATCGGCGGCATCGCCGAGATCGACGTCGACGACTGGAAGAAACACACCGACTACCGCGGCTACACCGAGTCGGACGAGGTGGTGCAGAACTTCTGGAAGACGGTGCGCTCCTGGGACGGAGAGCAGAAGTCTCGCCTGCTCCAGTTTACCACGGGTACCTCGCGTATTCCCGTCAACGGATTTAAGGATCTCCAGGGCAGCGACGGTCCGAGGAGGTTTACTATCGAAAAAGCTGGAGAGATGACGAATCTTCCCAAAGCACATACATGGTGGGTCTCCTCCCCCCCTCCTTTTGTATTATCATATATACTCACTCTCCCTCTCTCACCGTCACTCACCGTCACCCCTCCCCTCTGACTCTGCTGTACATGACTGACATGATATAGTTTCAACCGCATTGATCTCCCTCCGTATAAAAACCTGGAGATGCTTCAGCAGAAACTGACGATTGCTGTTGAGGAGACGATGGGCTTTGGACAAGAATAGATGATGTGAGAGATTGCAATACGGAATTCTTTTTTTTTCTTTAAAAGAGGGAGAAGGAAGACAACAATACCAAAAACTTTGACAAGAAAAGACCAAAAAAAGAACACACACACACACACACACACACACACACACACACAAGGCGTATATATATACAAAGATCAACACATCATGGAAAATATATGGAAAGATGTGAAGAAGAAGACGAAGGAGAGGAAGATTGAAAAAAAAACACGAAGAGGGAAAGAGGGAAGGAGTGGAAGGGGAGATCTTGATATTGTTTTTTTCCTGTTGACACACACACACACACACACACACACACACACATGAACGCGCACCGAAACAGCATGTTGGCGGCTTTACATCTTTTATATGTTTCTATGTTTTCATCTTCTTTCTTTTCTTGGTTCATTCAAAAACATTTTTTTTTTTGGCTGTATTGTTATCGATGAAGAAGGTTTGGTGTGCTAGTGAGAATATCTTCTTTTTTTCTTGCTTGTTATTCAGTTGGTCACTACACCATTCAATGGGCGATATACTTTCTATTCACTGACCCACGATACTGTTGACGATGCAATCTTACTCGTAGAGTTACATCTATCTTTTTTCTTCTTCTCGATCGTTCCCAGCCTAATCTATCCTTGATGTGTACAGACATATGAGAGTGGGCAGACTGATAATAGACAGGCAAAGGGGCCCATGGACTACCTCGCCGGTTTCTTTCCGTGGACAGGTGAAGGAAACTAGATAAAAGTCAAGGGGATAACATAGGCAGTATACAAAATCAAAGGGGAAAATGAAAGGAGACACCTGCGCAATATAAAAGACAGACAGACAAAAAAAAGAAAATGGACATCGGACCAATTTAAACCACTCTTTCTTCTTTTTCTTCTTCTTTTTCTTCATCAGTGCCCTCTCCCCACAATGAAACCCGGATCGCTTGGTTGGTCAAGGGCGGCGAATCTCCACCTAACATGGGGCCTCTCCCAGGACTTTCATGGTGTAAGAGGGGACACACTGGATGGGAAAAACACTCCCAAGAAGATTAGAAGAGACGATGTCATGTCTGAAAACAAACCCCCCCAAAAGGGTACAGAAAGGTCCGATAAGACAGGAGAGCAGACGAGACGAGACGAGAAAGAAGCGAGAGGAGAGAAGCCGAATCACCTCCTGTACCACATCCTGGTAATCTTGGTGTTCCGCATCTTACGCTGCAGCTGAAAGATACCGTACATGAGGGCCTCGCTGGTGGGCGGGCACCCGGGGACGTAGATGTCGACCGGGACGACGCGGTCGCAACCCCTGACGACCGAGTACGAGTAGTGGTAGTAGCCGCCGCCGTTGGCGCACGAGCCCATGGACACGACCCACCGGGGATCGGGCATCTGGTCGTAGACCTGGCGGAGGGCCGGGGCCATCTTGTTGGTCAGGGTTCCGGCCACGATCATGACGTCCGACTGGCGAGGGGAGGCGCGGAAGATGATGCCCAGCCGATCCTGGTCGTATCGGGGGGTGGAGAGGTGCATCATCTCGACGGCGCAGCAGGCGAGGCCGAACGTCATGGGCCAGAGGGAGGATTGGCGGGCCCAGTTGGTCATGATGTCGAGGGTGGTTCTGTTTTTTTTTTTTTTCATCTTCCGTCAGCCACTTGTACTTACGAATGCATAGGAGCGATGGAGAGATATTATATGGGAGGGAAGGGGAGGAGAATGAGCGTATAGGGAGAAGGATGTATAGGAGGGATGGCAAAGAAAAAAAAAAGAAGAAGACATACAGGGCATATTGGACAACTCCCTTTGTACCCTCCTCACTGGCGAGGGGAACCTCCTTGCGCGCCTTGGACAGACTGTTGCCCGCTGCGAGGGGGGTAAGGGAGCTGGCGTTGCGGCGAGAGTCGGCTGCCACGGAGGCCGCGGCGGCGCGGAAGGGAACGATTGACGTCGAGGGTTTGACTATACGTCGAGAAGTCAGTTTTTGGGAACCCTGACCAGAGAGAGAGAGAGAAAGCTCGTCATCGGATGGAGGAAGGGGATGGGGGGTGGGGGAGGGAAAGGCGGCAGCCACGAACCTCGGAGGGCCATTGAGGCCGCTGTACGCGTCGAGGGCATCATCTTGAAAGGATGGAGATATATATCCTTGTCTTCTTCTCCTTCTTCTTCTTCTCTCCCCTCCTATTCTCTTCTTCTTCAATGACTGGCGGAGAAGGGGATGTAGAAACTGGAAGGAAGACTCCAAGAGGAAAATAGCCGCTTGGTTCTGCTGCTTCGTCGTTATGTTGGAGATGTGGTGTCTGTCCTTGGCTCGGGATGAGCACAAATGCCCACGTCCTGATTGGTCCGTGGGCAGCCGATGGGTTGCGAGGTTTATCCGGGGTCAGACCACTTGGGGATGTGGACACTGGGGTAACAAGGGGGGAGGGGGGGGTTGGGTTCAGTGCATATTCTACGGTCATTGACGCCATGTCTACCGATGTTGTGTTTGGATCACTGTTCAGAAACAGATGGCTACATGGTCTTACCAGACTGTGGAATATTACAAAGGCGATTCTCTCTTCTTCACATCCTCGAATTGCATGGACCTTGTATGGCGTATCTACCCCGTAGATGACTTGTGGAGAGACCAGACTTTCACCCACAGTGGACTTGTCCCAAGTGCGGAGAAGAGGTATTTTGATATCGGGGGAGATGCGATTATATAATCATAGAAGGAAAGCGAGTATTATATAAGCTGGGTCTCGGTGGCGGTTTACCCGATGAGATACCGAAAAAAGACCAGAATAATTCCCTATCAAGGAAAAGACGCAGGTGAGACAATGTACATGTGTATGTATTGTGCCTTGACGGTCAATTGGACGGATAAAAAGGACTCTTGCAACGTTTTAATCGAATTTTAGTTTATTTTATCGTGATTTTATATACATGTACATATATACACACACACACACACACACACATATATATATATATATATATAAATATATATACATATAAATATATATACATATAAATATATATACATATAAATA